TGGGAAGGTCAATAGAGGCTCCTTATTGGTTGAGGCCCAGAAAAGAACAAAGCTAAAGGACATGTCTACTAGAGAGTTTCTCAGATATGCCTGGAATGAAGTGTTGGGAGTCAGTGAAACCAGTGGTGAAGAGCAGGTTGTTACAGACAATGTGAAAAAAAGGCCAAGGATTTGTTTCATATCAAACAAAGAGATTTTAAGGAAGATGACATGTTTATCTCTTGTGGTGGGTCATCTCTTAATGCAGTAAGGCTGATGGAATTAATTGAGACATTTGTTACTGAAGAGGAGACAGAAGTTGATCTGTCAGAGTTATTGGACATAATTTTAACAAAACCTTTTGGTGTTCTTTGTAACTACCTTGAGGGGAAACTCAATATTCCCAATGAAAGAAATGATCTGAGCTCTAAGGAGACACATCATCTTCATGAAGATACAAACAAAATATCTCCAGCTCCTTCATCCAGTGTTCCTTTTGAAGAAATACCCGTTGTTAGAGTGAAAAGATTGTTCTCAACTCTGGCTGATGCTGCCTCCCATTACAACAGTAAGGCAGCAAAAAAGATCCAGGCCCTAGAAGAAAGTAAGGATTCTTACATAACTGCACTGTCAGATGTAACTGAATTGAAAACCTGTTTTTGTTCTATGCATAGACAAAACCAGTTTAATGTTTGTAACATTTGTAAACACTCAACACCAAGCACAGATGGGGTTGTGGCAAGCAAGGCACAAACAGTTTCTGCCAGTCAAGCCAGTGTCTCAGCCAGTGCTGTACCTTGTGAGGTAGCAGGGTCACCATTTATACCAAAGGTCCCTGACCAGTTCTTCTCTTCTGTCCAAGATCATAAAGGTTCCACGGCTGTCAACCCAGATACAGGAAATTTTAACACTGCAGAAGGCACAGTTTTGGTTTCTTGTCAGTGGCGAACTTGTCTTTACAAATGTATTGATGCCTCTCCTCTTGTGGTGCATGCACCAGGGAGATCTGAGGGGGAAGTTTTCATAGGTTCCCACAGTCATGTGTTCATGTGCATCAGACTGAGGGATGGCAAAGTACTGTGGGAGAGTAGACTGGGGGACAGAATAGAATCCTCTGCAGCTCTTTCACTTTGTGGTAGATAAGTTGTAGTGGGTAAGTATTGTATGTTGTTTTTAGATACTAGGGAGTACACTGTGGGAGCAAACCAGGAATAAATTACTAGACAAATATGGTAAACCTTGTGATTATGTTACAGGATCTGAATGTACACTTGAGTGTTTAAAGTCCATGTATTGACTTTGTTTTCACTTTCTCTAGAGTGTTTTTTGCACTACCAATATTAAATTCTCAATGTAAGAATATGTATCCATTGTAAACATTTTCAGGAGAAAAGAGCCTGCTGCTTATCTCGTTATTCATTCATTAATTCATTTTTCTTCCAAACCTTCCCCCACCCTTCCATCCCCTCCCTTCTTTTAGCTTAAACTCCAACAAATTAGACACCATGCCTTGCAAAAAATATAATTAACAATTTTTGGTAAAGCTTGAAAGCTATTAGGGCCTCCTCTGTAACAGCTGGTTTTGTATGGGTCCTGGAATATTTGGAATTTTATATTTACATTTTCTAGGACTGCAATGTCCTGGAAAAAGGCTATGTGTCCTGAGAAGTCCTGAAAATCTGCTTAACTCAAGCAATAAAGTTTTCAAAGTTTAGGTTCTAAGAAAATTAATGTATGTAGATTAAGTAAGGAAAATTGATTTTAAAACCTTAAAGGTTTTTAAGGTGAAATTTAGAGCACTGGAAAAATCAATCTGAGACCTAGGAACAAAAACCCTGGAAAAGTCCCCATAATAACGGAGACAATGATCTGCTCCCCATCTCATCAACTGAAACCTAATATTTTTNAAGCAGCAACGAAGTTTTAATATTCTGTGAACAGAATCGAGGAGATACACTGAAATTACAGCTAGGGGATATAGGAACGAGAGCGAAATTCAAAGTGCAGTGCATAACATTCCCTAAGAATTATTTAGTGTTATTAAAAATCAAACAAGTGACCAGGGGACAGTGCAAAATCTGATACTTCTGCTCGCGAGGAATCGAACCTGGTTCTGGTTTCATGGTCAATTGCTCTATAATAGTGGGCCACACAGAATACATTCGTGAGCTAAGTCTATATCATGATGCAAGGTTTATATGTCCTTTGGCAAAACATTACAACTTATGTAATCGATGATTAAGTTAATGGTGACGTTCATGATTATCAAAGCTGATTCATATGCACTTGCAGGAGTGAACGTAATCGCGGTGTATTCACCTTGATTCAGGCTGGAATATAAAAATTCTGAGGTACTCGTAACTCCACTCTGGTGGTCACCCAGAATGCATCAGTACACTGCAGCGAGTAAATGAACCCCTATGTTTGGTATACCTTCTTAATTCAAGTCACTACAACGGTTTTAAAGTTGCTTCTATTTGTCTATTTTGCATATTAAGGATACAAGTCCTGTTTAAGCCCTTTAAGCTACTTCCACAGCAGGGATCCCATATATACTTTGCAGAAATGATCGTTGGGAAAGGAACCAATATGTTGTTCTTTTAATATCAAAATACACAAAAAATACGAAAAGATTGGGGGAAAGTGGAATACATAATGGGAAATTATAACGGGGAGCGAGAAACGGAGAACAGAAACAGTTATGACTGGGGTGAAATGAAAAACCGAAAAAAAAAAAAAATAGAAGAGAGAAAGGGAGATGAGAGAATGGGGTTTCCAAAGCTCTAATGCATGAGTGCAACTTGATACTACTTCATTCACAGCTAAAAATCGCGATTTGTAATTACAGTGCTTTG